GACTTGGTCGTGAGATCGGGTTGAAATGTCAGACCCAAAGAATCAGGAACTAAATGTGGATTCTTATATAGCTAAGTTACTTGTTTTCTAAATAATACAATCTTCAACATTCCCTTCTCTGGGGCTTATTTAAGCCCCACTTTAAAATCCTTTCCAGAGTGTAGTTTCAAAATCCAGCCCCCTCAGTTATGCTACCTCAACTGAGTCACCTATTCTCCTTTCCAATGACTAGATTATGCCACCACACTCCCGGAGGAGCACTCGAGCCAAACATCTTCTTCCATAGGCCTACATTTTATTTCTTTTAGTTATCTTTCTTTTCTTTTTCTTTTTTCTTAATGAAAAAAGTAAAAGACTCGAGTTCTCCCTAACAAGACAAACATTAAATATTATTATAAGCAACCACTGGGGAGAGGGCATGCAGGCCAGTACTTACACCCAGGGTCTGGCTCATCAATCATCTGTTTCGTCCTCAATTGAGGTACTTGAATCCTTATCCAATGCTTGTAAAATCCCATTTGTATCTTGGTAATACCTTGGCTGTCCTCTAGACTTATTTTCCCATTTCCTTGACATTTTAGCACCTCCATTTGTTTAACTGTGGTTTTGACAACCAATGATCTTGATATGCAAAGTACACAATAGAATAATAACACACTTTCAAAATTGAGCAAACCATCATTTTCCCAACTTTACATTAAGTTTTCCTTATCCTCTGCTCTTACGGTTTTCTTCCACTTAATTGTAATTGCTGAATTTTCCCTGCACAATACTATTTAGTATATTATTTATATACTATATATTATTTAGTAGCACTGATCTCCATTTAGTAGCACTGATCTCCAAAAATAAGTCATTCTACTTTTTCACATAGGCTAATTGTTTTCCTCCTAATGCAGACAAAGCATTACAATAAATCTCTGCTTAATATAATAGTCTAATTGATTCATTATGCATTTTGGTTTTGCATGATCCATATGACTTAATTCAAAATATAGCTGGGTAAAAATAACTCTTTCATTTTTATCACTTAATGAAGCAATATCACTTCTTAAATTCAAAGAATCCATGTTTTAGTCAGTCCTTTTTAGCTGATGAACGAACAGAACATTGTAGTGTACCTTTCTATTCAATAAATCACAATAGGTTTTGCATTTTGTCAAAAGTTTTACATTTCAAATTCTGTTTATTTTATAACCAACATTAAACAATAACAGCCCATTCTCACCCCCTAACTGACAGTTTTACTCAATACATTAACAAACAACTGATTAACCTTAATCAGTATGATAAACTCATCATCAAACTTGTTAACCTTAACAATCACAGTTTTCTGCGATTCATTTTAGCTTCTCCTAGCAGACCATTGTCATACAATGCGGTAACCGGAAACTAAACTTATCTGTGCGCATGCTTTCCTATTAAATAAGAAATACAGATACCACTGATAACCTTATCAGTAACCTTATCATTAAACTAACAATCACAGTTCTCTGTGATTCAGCTTCCCCGAGCAGACCATTGTCATACAATGCGGTAACCGGAAGCTAAACTTATCTGTACGCATGCTATCTTATTAAATAAGAAATACAGATAACACTGATAACCTTATCAGTAACCTTAAACTTTTTTGAGCTCCCCCTTGCAGACCATTGTTATACAATGCGTTTACCGGAAGCTAAACTTATCTGTATGCATGCTATCTTATTAACCTTAATAAAAAATACAGATAACACTGATAACCTTATCAGTAACCTTATACCCTTTATTGTGGCAAATTAATACTAGTATTTATACAACCTGCGTCAGATTACACAAATACTGGCAAATGAGAGCTCCCTTTTTACAATTTATTTTACATCCCCAAGGCCTTCTTATTATACAACACACTGCATGCAATCATTTCTGGAATGAGAGATCCCCTTTCAAATTTTGTCTTAGTTCTTTGAATTTAAAGAAGCTTATTTTAAATGTCTTACAAGCAAATGTCTGGGCGAACCACACAAACGTTTCTAGCAAAAACTGCTTACCTTGTGGCCACTTTTAGTTTGTGTCGTTCGTCCAGCAAAGCTCGCCGCAGTTCAACATCAACTCCTGAAAGTGTCCCATCTGGGGTACCATTTGAAGTGGTTTCTGTCTTTTTGAAATGACTTCTCAGAGATCTCTGATGCCAGAAATATTAGACTTTATTCACAAACAAAGCTGAGCAACTTCTGCAGCATAGTTGCTCTAACTCTCTGGCCCTCCGGCCCTATTGCGCTCCCAACTCTTTTGTGTTCAGAGTTATATCCTCTTCCATAGAAGGTCAGACATCCTATAGATAGTTTTAAAAATACCTCCCTTATGAAAGAAAAATATATTTACCAATATATGAAGAGTTCAGATGCAAAAGCCTCTAAATTGCCATTTGAAATTTTCTTCTTTAATGATGATTTTTATCAAACTTATATTTAAGTTCAGTAATTTCACTTAAATAACAATTAATAGGTAATTATCATTGCCATTTAAGTGAAATCACCGAACTTACATATACAAGCTTGATAAAAATGATCATTCTAGAAGAAAATTTCAAGTGGCACTTAGAGGCTTTTGCATCTGAACTCTTCATATTACTTGAAATATATTGTAATATATTGTAATATATTATTTTCCTTTCCATTTTCCAATATATTATATATTGGAAATACATGGAGTAATATATTGATGATACATACAGTATATTATACAATATATTAAATATATTACAATATATTGCAAAATATACAAATGATTGCTGCTTTCAGTATATTGAAATATATGGTAAATGAGTATATAATATATGTAATTATATATCCGAAAATATATACAATTTTATATTTATTAATATCCACCATAATGTATTACAATTTGTATGAGATAATGTATTGGTTATATATGTAAATATATAAGGTCCCATGTATGTTCAATATATGGTAGAATACATTTCAATATATATATGAAATTATATGGAAATATCTAAATAAAATATGTACTGTATAGATATCTGTTCCATGTATTGTTGAATATATTTTAAATATATTTAAAATTGTATGGAAAATGTGCATACATATATGTATAGATATGTGTTCAATATATTGTGGAATATATTTTAAATATATGTACAATTATATGGAAATATATGCATATGTATAGATATGTGTTCAATATATTGTGGAATATATTTTATGTACAATTATATGGAAATATATGCATACATATATGTATAGATATGTGTTCAATATATTGTGGAATACATTTTAAATATATGTAAAATTATATCAAAATGTATGTATAGACAGTATACTGTATGTATGTTAAAAAACTGAAACAGGAAGTGCTTCTGGACCAGTGTTGTTTAGGTACATCTAGCAAAATGGTCTGTAAAAGGACATTATCAATTCTTAAAACCGCCTCTTCTCTATGTATCCTTAGTTGTACCACTTTAGGTCAAGAATCAGTCGTCTCCATGACAACAGGAATAACTTATCTCTTACTTACATATTATGCCAGCTGTTCCTCTTCCTGGATTTTTTATTTTTATCTTTTTTATTTTTTTTTTTTTTGATTCATGAATTGGTATATTTTCCTTTTAATATGTAAATGTTTGGTTTTAGCAATACTCTTGTTAATGAACAATTACTTTCAAGGGTACAATCTCTGTCACACGCAAGTTTCAATTAACATCACGCACACTAAAAAAAAAAAAAAAAAAAATCAAAACAGTTATTCTTTGGGGAAAATGTAAAGGGCCTTCCACACCAAAAGTGAAATGAATAAACCTCATACTGAAGGAAATGCACATTCAAGCCTGTACAGTAGAGGGCGCAGCTCAAACAAACCTTTCACCTGTGCTGCCATTCAGGATCACAGAAGAACTGGATGAAGGAGAAGAAAGTTTAACAATCTTAAACTTAAAATTAAACATAGGCTATTTGTGATGTTTAAATGTTTAAGTCATGTTTTGGTAGAGGTGTTAGTGAGGCCAGCAGGGGGTGCTCACCCTGTGGTCTGTGTGGGTCCTAATGCCCCAGTATAGTAATGGGGATACTATACTGTCAAAAGAGCACCGTCCTTCGGATGAGACGTTAAACCGAGGTCCTGACTCTCTGTGGTCATTAAAAATCCCAGGATGTCTTTCGAAAGAGTAGGGGTGTAACCCCGGCATCCTGGCCAAATTTGCCCAGTGGCCTCTGTCCATCATGGCCTCCTAATCATCCCCATATATACCAATTGGCTTCATCACTGTCTCCTCTCCACCAGTAAGCTGGTGTGTGGTGAGCGTTCTGGCGCACTATGGCAGCCGTCGCATCATCCAGGTGGATGCTGCACATTGGTGGTGGTTGAGGAGATTCCCCCCTCTATGTGAAGCGCTTTGAGTGTCCAGAAAGGCGCTATATAAATGTGATGAATTATTATTATTATTATTATTATGTTTTGCTTAGTATGGTTGAATTAGATCATTAAATGTCAGCAGCAAAGACATTGGTTAATAAAGTGAGATATCGTAAAGCATATTATATATAATATTAGCTTATATTATATTTCATATATTTATATTTACAGTTATGGCGTGGGCTAGAAGAAGAAAACTACAGACATGGGTCACTGAAACGAAAGTATCAATAAGACATATTTTAACCTTGACAGAAAAATATGTCAATGGTCTATAGAGAATGTCTAGTTCACTCTGTTCTTCTTTTTTATATACATTGATTCTCGCTCTGTAAACTTCCGACAATAGCTAAAATGTAGATTGCTGTAATTTTTTAGCTTTCTGAATGAGGTGGCACAGATGCTTGGAGAATGAAAGAATGTGTGTTTGCAAACGCTCAAGGACAGTGCAGCCGTGAGACATGCTTTTCACTTGTTTGAAAAAGAAATAAAACGAAAACCATTCTCAGTGAAGCTAAGGTCATTCAGCACCTTATAAATAGAAAAAAGAAAGGACAGACTCAGAACTCAGTGAACTGACAGAGCTACAGATAAATGACTTAGTTTATAAATGATTCTGAGGTTTAAATTTTGGGGCAGGGGTGCACAGATATTTGCGAGGGACTCAATCTTTGAATGAGATGTAGGTTTTTTGGTTGTGAAAGGGGTTGTCTGGATCACAAAATGCATTTTGTCCACAAACTGTTTCAATACATATTTTTATTTTTTTTTAATGTTTATTTGCTCCTTTGATGATGCCGCCACACAACTACAGGAGCAGAAGCACTGGAGGGCTGGACTGGTAAGGATCGGTATGATGGAAATATAGCGGGATACCGGGGGATGTGGGAGCTGTAAGGATGTTCCCTCGGAATATCAACTTTAATCATCTTCTTACTGTAAGAACACACACAGACACAGGATTATAAATCTCAGTATTTTTACAATGAAAAGATTGTGCTTTCACTCTATCCTTGATCCATCCCTGCCTGACAGCAAAACCAGTTACCCAACAGTATGAAAGGAAGAGAGTAGAAGAGAAGAGAGCATGTGTGTTATTCTACACTGTTATTCAAAAATGCTGGGTTTTTTCATCTTCAAAATATTTAATTACATTTTTACCCCAACATTTGGGTTGACACAACCCAGCATTTTTTAGAGTGTAATGTGCAGTTGATACAGTGTAAGGAAAATAAATAAATACAGCATGCAAGGTGTGCAAAAGAAAAAAAAATGAAAATTATATTTCATAATTTCACCTCATGTCAATGTCCGTCGGTTTGGGAACCCTGGAATCAATACATAATAAAAGAATAAATAAATCGATAATGATAACATAAGCTAATTTGATTAGAGTGTGAAATTAGCAAGCGAGAATCTGTGAAAACTTACAGCTGGTCATTCAGTCGGACATTACTCTTCTTGGTGAGGGTGAGGTCATAATATTGCTCAATGATGACAGACCTAAACGTAAGCACATTAAAATTTGTGAATTTCCGAAAATCTTTTAAGGCATGCATTTAGAAGACGTTATCGGCTTTTTCATGATCAGTTTTTCCAATAAAACCAATAACATTATGTATAAATTATGTAAATTAAACATGAAAATTTCAGTATTTTATAATTGTACTGAAATAATAGTTTAATATAATATAATATTTATTTTGTATATATTTGCTTTGTATATATGAAGAGTTCAGATGCAAAAGCCTCTAAGTGCTATTTGAAATTTTCTTCTAAAATGATCATTTTTTATCAAGCTTGTATATTTAAGTTCAGTAATTTCACTTAAATAGCAATGAAGATTACCTATTAATTGTCATTTAAGTGAAATTACTGAACTTAAATATACAAGCTTGATAAAAATGGTCATTTTAGAAGAAAATTTCAAATGGTATTTAGAGGCTTTTGCATCTGAACTCTTCATATATATATATAAAACAAAACACTTATAATATTCAATACAAAAAATATACAAAAAATATACAAAATTGAATATGTTTAAAATAAGATAACTCAAAATAATATTCATTACAATCATTAATTTTATAAGTTATTTGTGAAATTTATTTAATCAATGTAATATTTAATTTTATTAAATTGTGTTCAAACATATCATATATGTCTGAAGAATTATCAATGCTTACTCAGGCAACACAGATCCTCCGAAGCCGAAGTGTTGATGTCCTTTAATGATTGCAGGGACATGTTCATTCCGATAACTGAAAGCCATCTTTCTATAGGCCTGATGTTGGCTTGGCTCTTCATGATGCCTTTTTGGGTAGACCCTGTTGTCCCTATGAACAATTGAAAGACAATGAGTTTAGGTCTCATTACACTTAATTTTCAATGTAACAAAATACTCATTTTCATCATTTAGAACTAAATCTTAAAGGAATAGTTCACCCAACAATTAAAATTCTGTCATCATTTACTCACTAGTTAAGTTACTCACAAAGCTAAACACATTGACTTCCATAGTACACAATGGAAGTCAATACCATCAACTACTTGGTTACCCATATTCTTCAAAATATCTTCTTTTGAGTCCAGCAGAAAAAATTCATTCAAATTTTCATTTTTGGGTGAACAATCCCATGCAGTATCCTAGAATATCCTCACCTTGGAATATAGAGTCCAGTGATGCTTAACGGTTGCCTCAAGATGGGTGGGAGTCTGAGTGGAGAAGGGCAGGTTTCCTCTTTCATGGTTCCCAGTCCAATGCTCTGGCACACAGGTTTAAAGGTGGGCAAGTGTTCAGCCTGATGCAGGTGGATCAAAGGCAGCAAATGTTGGACAGGTGGACGCCGCCGTGAAAATCGCATCTGCTACCGAAAGCTTGGATTCCCACACTGTTCATAGTGTTGAATCTACAAACAGCCACATGAGACCACAGAGTGACACTTTATCCAAGTCCAAACACCATCACTATGGAAGCTCAGCTGGGGCCTTTGTTGTGTTTAAGGGATTTGGTGATGCGAGATGCTCATTAGATCTGCCTCGCTGACAGATCGCACTTAATCCTACTGCTAAGCCCTTAAACTCACTTATAAATTCAAAATATAGTCGACTTTGAACAAATTAGGCTGATGTCAGTTCCCGTCGGTAGGTTTTAACTGTTGCACTCAAAGTTAATTATGTACATTCAAAAGTAAATGTATTCCCAATGAATAATGCAATAAACCAATAGCCCTCAGAGAGCAATCACATCTCAGAATGTAAAGTCTGCTGTTGCTGGGTCTCTGAGTGCAGGAAGTTCGGTGCTTGTATTCATAGATAAGCAGAGATAAGCAGAAACCAGAGCAGGTTATCTGAGAAACAGAGATCTAGGCTACTGCAGAGAGTGTAAACCCATCTCTGGTTTCAACAGCTAACTGAATTCATAGCACATGCATCCAATGGAAAAGTAGTGAAGTTTACACATATAGGAATGCTTAAAGCGGGGGTTAACCCGAATGAAACCTCTGTCTTCATTTAAAGGAGTAGTTCACTTTTCAAAAAACTTTTGCTGATAATTTACTCACCGCCATGTCATCCGAGATGTCCATGTCTTTCTTTCTTCAGTCGAAAATAAATTAAAGTTTCTGATGAAAACATTCCAGGATTTTCTCCATATAATGGACTTTAATGGGAACCAAACGGTTCAAGGTCCAAATGAGAGTTTCAGTGCAGCTTCAAAGGGCTTTAAACGACACCAGATGATGAATAAGGGTCTTATCTAGAGAAACGATCGCTCATTTAAAAAATTAATAAAAAAATGTAAGTTTTATAAGCACAAATGCTCGCCTTGCTCTGTTCTGTGATGAGCGTTCGTGACTCTCCTGATCAAACTCGTTCATCAAAATGAACAAATCTTTTTTCGAGTCATGACTCGAAGGGTCCTAGGTAAGACCATTATCAATCGTCTGGTGTCATTTAAAGCCCTTTGAAGCTGTACTGAAACTCTCATTTGGACCTTGAACCGTTTGGTTCCCATTGAAGTCCATTATATGGAGAAAATCCTGGAATAATTAATTAATTTCTTAATTTCTTCTCGACTGAAAGAAAGAATGATATGGACATCTCGGATGACATAGGGGTGAGTAAATTATCAGCAAAAGTTTTTTTTTGAAAAGTGAACTTTGGAGAAAATGAAATAGATGAAACTATTTGAAAACAAAAATGCATTATGACATAATGGAAATTAGAATCTCCCTTGTTCCTTCCGTTTGTTAAAAGCTTGTGTGGCAAATTAATGACTTGTTTGATTTTCTTTAGGTCTCTAAATTTATTCCCACCAAGTCATCATCACTGCTGTCTCCAATTGAAACAGCAGGAGTGCTGTCCATGGTCCTGAAATGTGTCACTTCCACAAATCAGTCTCATATGAACAACATTATCTCATTGCATTTTATATCATGCATTACATTAAACATACATTTAATCAGCTGTTTTCATAAATGCACACTCCTGAGGAAAAACTCCCACTCACTTCTTCTTAGCATGAACATTTGGTGTTCAATAAAAACTGGTATATCGATCGGCGTGTCGACTCTGTCCAGTGGCACCGCCAATTGCTTGCCAAGCATTTCCACTGACCGGCCTTATTTACAAAGCTGTGTTAAGCAATATATTCAGCATTACACCTTTAATTGGGATCCTCCAGGGGCCTTGTCAAAGGTTTCAAGCAAAGCTGGGATTTAGCAAACATGCCAAAGTAAAGTTCAGTGACCAATTACCTTCCTCCTCTTCGGAGAGGTTGCTGTATTACATCTCCTACTGTTGTATTATGAATGTAGTGCGCAGATCCCTCTCCCTTGGTTGCTTGTTAATACTCAACTATGGAGAGCAGGTTTCATTAGCCTGTGTCAGAATATAATGCTGTGAGCCATTAGGGGCGGGTTTAAACGTCAAGGCTGCAGCAGCACCTCAACTTACTAATGAGCATCAACTGGTATAAGCTAACATGCACACCAGGAACCATTTAAATGTGCTTAAGTGTTTAACCTATCAAGCTCAGAGGAGCACAATGGAGGTTCTTTTATGGAGACATCTCCTCCATTTGCACCCTACAATCCCAAAATCTGATGAAATTGTTTATTGAAGACCTGTCTGCATTACACATCCATGGATGATTCCAATTAAAGCATATCAACGCTCTCTACCAGAAATAAAGTTTAAATGTAAGGAGGATTATTATATCTGTTAAAATACAAAGTCAGATTACTAATAGATTACTGTCCCACTTTTGCAGATGAGCTGTCGAAAACATTCAAGAGAAAATGAGTGTCTAATTGTGTCCAAAAGTCAGTCAATATCACATATTTACATTTATCAGAGTTGCAGCATCAATCCTCAATGGTCAGGAGAAAGTTTTTATTAGTGCTTAATTGAACATTTAACTTTTTTTTTGTATTGTTCACCCTACTCATTGTTGTGATAATGTATTTTAATGATCCATATACTTTTAAATGAGATATTATTTTATGGCAATTATTGTTTTATCGTGTTTTATTCTGTATGTTCACATATGCTGTCAATAAGCATTCGGATGAGGTCCTGACTTTCTGTGGTCATAAAAAAAATGTCAGCCCAAGGATGTCTTTCGAAAGACTATAGGGGTGTAACCCCAGCATCCAAAATAAAAGTCTGTGTTTACATAATATATTTGTGTGTGCTGTATATAATTATTTTGTATATATAAATACAAACACATGTATATATTTAAGAAAATGTGTTATTCGTATGTAAAATATTTATATTTATATAATATAGATTATGTATTCATATACATATACAGAATTTAAGCACAAATAATTCTTAAATATATACATGCATGCATAGGTATTTATATATACAAAATAATTATATACAACACAAATATATTATGTAAACTCAGACTTTTATTTTGGATGCGATTGATCGCAATTAATTTTTGCACAGCCCTAATATATATATATATATATATATATATATATATATATATATATATATATATACCAATTGGCTTCATCACTCTGTCTCCTCTCCACAAATAGAGTGCCGAAGTGATGACGTTACTTTGTGGGACAACTCGGACGCTAACGGCGCATGGGTTCCCTCGGTCGAAAAGCAATTTTTTTTTTCCCCATAGACTTTTGGAAAATTGCAAAAAAAAAAGATTAACAAAGAGTTGTGTTGTGACCCTTACATGTTTTGTCTATCAAGATAATCTTTACAAGTTAATCTAAAATGTATACATTTTGAAGCCTATATAAAGATGTTAAAAACCACAAGCAGGTTATAACTATATTTTCTGTCATAGAGCAAAACGTGAAAATATTTAGAGGCTTTGTTAACCAGTAACCACAGACCTTATTTCAGGCGATTTAGCAAAAACCCATTCAAAAATCCCATAGACTTTAGAGCGAGGGAATCGGGAGTGCTAAAATGCTAACTCACTTCCGCGTTTTGGCCTACATAGTGATGTCGCAACTTCGGCACTATACTGTATGCTGGTTCTGGTGCAATGGCTGCCGTCGCAGCATCCACGGCAGCCATATTGCACCAGAACCATTGGTGGTGGTTGAGGAGATCACCCCACCAAGATCATGTTGGGATTTCCAGTGAATGAGTGAATTGATAAAATGTACACACAACGTAAATGTTTACGCTTTGCGTTAATGTAGGCCTATATGATATTATTTACAGATCTTGTTTATAATGATTTGAAGGAACTTGAGGGTATTGTGTATGTAGGCCTAGGCTATACATCACCAGAGTCCAATATAAATTTCCCTTCAGTGACAATAAAGCAATACAAAGTTCAATCGAAATGTTTTTATTTATTTATTATTATTTAATATTAAATTCATAATGAATGCTCTCTGTGCAAACAGGAAACAATAATTTATTCGTCCTGTTGGAATAGGCGTACATTGTGGACAGACTTAGATTAAAGGGATTCTGTAATGACAAATGAAAGCAGGCATGCTTTCAGACTGGGGCTACTTCAAAAGCCTTTAGCTCATTAGTGCTTAATGAAATAAAAAAAAGGTATTGAAAAATAATTTCTCTCTCTCTCTCTCTCTCTCTCTCTCTCTCACACACACACACACACACACACACACACACACACACACACGTATTTACGCAAGTGTGATGAAGACATATTTACCGTATAAAAAGAGCTTCACCAAACAAAACCAGAGAGTTAATGTAGCTACGACTAGACACACAAAAGAAACATCCATTTTCAGTCACGTATAAACTCGTTTACTTTTAAGTTTATTTAAGTTCTTCCCATAGGAGCCCTAGTGTCTTACCTGTCAAATTACTTATTATTTACGCACAGTCACTGTTCAACTCTACGAGCCTCAAAAAAGACCAGCGCGGCTGGAGAACAGAGATATGTAAATGACAGATGGATGTGTGAAGTGTGTGCGGCAGTACACAGTGAGCTGAGCGATACTGGACGATTTCAGATCACTTTGTCTGTGGCATTTTGGGCTATCGACATGACAACTTTTGATTTTTCCGACGTGGAGGCATTTTTGGATTGCCACCCGGAGCTTTTTGAGGAATATCTCGTCAGAAAGGGAAAATGTGACACCCTGAGCAGGTGGATCAAAGAGCATCAGCCGTCCAAAACGTCTCCGGTGGAGGAGAAACGCGGGGTCGCGAGGGACCCATTCTGGCCCACGAACCCCGACGGACTGAAGCGCAGATCGTCCCACATGGAGCTCCGCAGGAACTTCGCCCGGTCCAAAGCGATGACGGCACACCGGACCTACGACGAGCACGTCAGTCTTACGGCCAACGAGTCCCAGTCAAGTATGCGACGGCGCGCGCTCTTGCGGAAAGCCAGCTCGTTACCGCCGACCACCGCGCACATCTTGAGCGCGCTCCTCGAGTCCCGAGTCAACGTGCCTAAATATGCCTCCAGCGCCATTGACTACAAATACAGACTCAAAGAGTCCAACGAGAGGGAGTTCTTCCTCGAGCTGGTTAAGGACATTTCTAACGAACTTGACATGACGAACCTCAGTTACAAGATTCTTATCAATGTGTGCATCATGGTAAACGCAGACAGGTGTTCGCTTTTCCTAGTGGAGGGACCGTCTCATAAGAGGACACTCGTGTCCAAGTTTTTTGACGTGCACTCGGGCACCACGGTGCGACCCTCTTCGAGCACACTGGACTCAAACGAGGTGCAGGTTCCGTGGGGAAAAGGCATCATTGGTTATGTTGCAGAACACGGAGAAACCGTCAACATCCCGAACGCATACGAGGTAGAATTCGAACTAATTATAATTATTTTTGACTGTCGCATAGAAGTCGCGTAAGTCAAAGACTGCGGTCAGTTTTTTTTTTACTTTATCATACACGTACATATCAAGAAATACATTACAAAAACCGCAGTAGTTTTTTTTTTTTTTTTTTTAGTCATGCAACTGACTTTTAGCTAATTGTGCAAGTGGCTCCAAATTACAATTTGCCTTGCACAAGACACCTGGAAAAATATATTTCATAATGTCACCGACTTTTGAAATTTCTTTTAAATACGCTGCAAGACAATTAAAAAAAGTTTTTACGTGCATATGATACGCAGTTTTCGCGTGCATTGGATACGCAGTTCATTTGCGTGTACACACCATTCTACCCAATAGGCTACACGCACGCCACACCACTACTAAACCTACCCTAACCAACCCATGCGTATGCACGTAAAAACACATTTTCGCATATAAATTGCACGATAAACACACTGCGTTCTATAGAGACGCATTTAGTCTGATCGGGTTCATATATACTTTATATATAAGTCAATGACCATAGGATGAAGCCAGAGCAAATAGATCAAGTCTTTGCACTTTTGCACTTGTAGACCCGCCCCCTTTTGGAGGTTCTGCCCACATTTGGAGATCTCCAGTCTTTATAGCCCACTTGCAATATTCCTCTCTAGGGGTTAAACAGATCATAGTTGATCCGTGATCCGTACTGACCAGGCCCCACGGTTCGGCACGGATGTGTTTTATGGATTAATTGCAAAATTTCGGTACTTGCGCATTGTTATCTGTGCACACAGGCATAGCACAGCCGCACACACACCGGAAGGGTGCGCAGTGCGCACACAGATTAATTTGGCAAATGATATGATTCCTCATTTGCATCTCAGTGCGCTTTAATGGGCACATATATACACACAAATGTTTTATAACAGTTTATTATGTCAAAATGCCAGCCTCTGCAAATATTCTCGTAAACACAGTAAGTGTGTATCAAGATGTGTATCATTATATTGGATCCGTTCATGAGATCTTAAAGTGACAGTAACCTAAATACTTGCTGCTAAGTCATTAATGTTAATCAAACAACAAAACACAGCTTTAACAAACATGAATCTACTGTATATTAAATGTATACAGTGAAAATGTTATTTACATTTAGGCCAAATTATTACATCTGTTCCTAAATAGACCTTTATTTTTAACTTTGTTAAACTGTATTTATCCATGCTTGTAATTTTTGTATTTGATCTTAACCAAAAAATATATTATATACACTCTAAAAAATGCTGGGTTGTTTTAACCCAACTTTGGGTCAAATATGGACTAACCCAGCCGTTGGGTTAAATTTTTACATTACATTTTTAACCCAACATTTCGGGTTTGTCCATATTTGACCCAAAATTGGGTTAAAACAACCCAGCATTTTTTAGAGTGTAGGCTATAGTAATACTTGTATATATTGGTTTGTATTTTTAAAAATCAGTATCATTAAAATGATCGAATTTCATTTAAAAAAGTAATACATTACATTAATACATTAATACAAAAATAAGCTAATTTAAAGAAATAAATCAGTTCGGTTTTTCGATATTGGGCCAGAATTTACATCCTAATATATGTAATGTATATACAGTATATGTGTATATGTGTGTGTATGTATTAGGTCTTGGCAACAAAAAAACACAATCAATACACTTAACTGCCATTAAACAGTCTAGGGCTTAAGCTAGTGTAAGAGATGACTCATATCAAATCATTGTTTTGGCCAAAATTTAAAAGACACGTATTGTAACAGCCTACCCCAAGTTCAAACTTTCAGGTAAAATCTCCATGTAGTTTACCCTTGACTCATGTATGTATGTGTAGTTTTGTATTATTTTGTTCACCCAACAGCTACAGAAAAAAATATAACATTTTAATATGGGGGATAGAATAGATAGAGATAGAATGGGTTATGTGTGAAGATTTTTGATTTCTACAGTTTCTGCAGCCAAGGCTTGGAATCGCTGTCTGATTATTTGGATTATGACAAAACATTCAAGAACCTCAAATCTTCGTGTGAAGAAATTGCAATTACAGAGTTAACAGTTTCCTCATCTTCAAATACACGCTACTGTGCGAACACATCATTATAACATGGCCACTGGCAAGCCTTCCCTGGTATAGGTCAGAGGAGATCCATTAATGCAGTGCAATGAGTGTGCCTCTATCCCATACCAGTCCATTGGAATTGCATACTTATTGGTGGAAATTAAATGCAGTTTGTTCACACAAAGCAAACTTAATATGCTAGAAGATTGTTCTGGAAGACATTGTTTTTTCTCTTCCTCTTCCTGCACTTTGAAACCAGTTTTCAAAAGTTTGCATTTTTAGGCCCCCAGAACGCTGTTGTCGTGTAAATAAACGTCCAAAACACATACATTTTTTTTGTTTTTAGTTGAAAACAGTGTTGTGTAAATGGCCCCTTCGAAGAAAAGTACATAGAACCTTAAAGGGTACTGTCAGGTGCTATATATATACATATATAATATATATATATATATACACATGTTATTTTGTAACGTGGAAGTAAGTGCAGAAAATGGTAAAACAATTTGCGCTACAAACCAGTGTGTTTATAATGATGACAATACATTAAAATAATATGATAAGAAATAGCAGTTTGCAATATCAAGCAGCATAACAAGCTGTTATATACAGCTAAATTTAACTGGAAGCGAATGACATATTCAATTTCCAAATAACCGCACGCCTGCACCCGCTTTTGCATGAAAAAAACGGTGGATAAAAACTTTCCATCATGTGATCATTTTATGGATTGTTTTAATGAATTTTGTGTTAATTAACTTTCATTTTCGATACAAATTTTATGAATTAAGCAGCTTGTAAACATACTTTATCAGTAGAAAAAAAAATTAATAATCAATCAGTGTTGTAGTACTCGAGACTCGGACTCGTCTCGGACTCGGTCTCGAGACCATATATTAATGGTCTTGGTCTTGTCATGGACTCGTGTCCATTTGGACTCGGAATTGACTCGTACTCGAAAATTTTTTTTTTTAGGACTCGGAATTATTCCCGAGTCCACTCGAGTTCAATTCAAAATTTTTTTCATGATTATTAATGTATGTTAATAAAATATTTCTTTAAATTGATTGACACGCCCAGTGATTGGTGATTTTCTAGTGCGCAACTGCGCATGACAAATTGTAATAAAATTACTTTTAACACCATCTACTATGTGGCCTTTTTACCCTAAACTGATCATATTTTTTTAACTCTAAGTAAATTCAGTAAAAAAAAAAAAAAGGATTTCTCTAAGTAAATAAAAGTAAATTAGGTAATCAACCCTCACTGGTCTCGGTCTCGACTCGGACTCGACCGTCTCTAGTCTCGGACTCGACTCGGACTCGACTCTCTATGGACTCGGTCTTGACTCGGACTCGACTCTCTCTGGTCTCGGTGTCGACTCGGACTCGAGTGAGGTGGTCTCGACTACAACACTGTAATCAATTAAAAAGAAAGTATCATGCAATCATGTGAGACATTTCCCCTTAGATCCTTTTTGGCTTAAAGTGTTCTTTAAAATTGAATCAAGAACCCTGTGGTTCTATACAACCCATTACACCTTTTTTTCTAAGAGTGCTGTGCCTCTTGTGTATTGTGCAGGACCATCGGTTCAGTGATGAAATTGACAAGCTGACTGGCTATAAGACTCAGTCCATTCTGTGCATGGCCATCCATAATAGTGACGGAGAAGTCATTGGTGTAGTGCAGGCCATCAACAAGAACCCCAGCGGAACTCCATTCACCGAGGACAATGAGAAGGTAAGCTCTATTCTCCATTTCACTTGGCTTCATGCCGATATTAAATTCTAAAGATATGTTCCAGCTACTGGATTTATAGCCTATTTCATTCTCCTGATGCCTATTACTGCCCAAACTTTTGCTGCATGGGGATGAAACTCTAGAGTGTGAGTGATAATTACTGTGCTAAATCAAAAGAGATCTTTGAATGAACCATTAATGAATATCCTGCCATGCTGGAGTAGTTGTAGATTTAGAAAATTAGTTATTTATATGAGAAAACGTATTCATTGTACTAAGCGACTGCATAAATCAAAGCTAGATCTGATACTCTGTTGCTCTCCGAATTTCATAAAACTGCTCACACTGAAATTAAAGGGATAGTTCACCCAAAAATGTTAATTCTGTCATTAATTACTGACCCTCATGTTGTTCCAATAAAACCGTGAGACTTTCATTCATCTTTGGGATACAAGTGATCTTTTTAATGAAATCTGAGAGCTTTCTGTTCCTCCATTGACAGCTACGCAACTGACACTGATTTAAAAAGTTCTTAAAGAGATCATAAAACGAATCCATATAAAGTGAGTGGTTTAGTCCAAATTTTCTGAAGAGACTCGTTCGCTTTATATGAACAGATTGAATTTAGGCTTTTATTCACATAGAAACATTCATCAACTCACACATCAGTTATGATAAAAAGATGCTCAATGTTCACTTGAAGTGCGAAAACCAATGAGGTTCATTCTCGTGTTACGCATCACATTTGAGCTTCTGCAAGAACCAATGCGGTTCATTCTCGTGTTACGCATCACATTTGAGCTTCTGCAAGAACCAATGAGGTTCATTCTCGTGTTACGCATCACATTTGAGCTTCTGCAAGAACCAATGCGGTTCATTCTCGTGTTACGCATCACATTTGAGCTTCTGCAAGAACCAATGAGGTTCATTCTCGTGTTACGCATCACATTTGAGCTTCTGCAAGAACCAATGCGGTTCATTCTCGTGTTACGCATCACATTTGAGCTTCAGCAAGAATGTTTGCGAATGTTCGTTGGAACGATGGTTTCGGGAAACACCGACTCGTTGAACTATACTGATAACGACGGAACTTGCGACCATAGTTGGCTAACGATGCTTTCGGGAAACGCACCCCTGCTCGATTCATATGGATTCATTTTACGATCTCGAAGCGGAAAAGTAGTAGTTGTCTCTCAATAGAGGGAAAGAAATCTCTCAGATTTCATTTAATTCGTGTTTCGAAGATGAACAAAGGACTTACGTCATTGGAACAACATGAGTAATTTTTTTGGGTGAACTAAACCTTTAAGCTGTGAACAGAGTCATTATCATTGACTGAATCAGCACATGTAAATGGCACACCTCAGAATCAATACAAAATATAGATCCAGTACTGCAGTCTCTCGGCACAAATCAGTCAGTACCCGTTCGTCTCATTCCTTTACTTTCATTGGTGATTCAAAACAGCTCTCTATAGATAGTAATTAATAGCACAGACATTTTCTTTAGAATTATTTATGCCAAGTAGCACTCAAAGCAGAAAGCACGCTGTGCTCATATAAATGCCCTAGAAATACAAAGAAGCAGAACTGATGTGATGCCTCCAGTTCTTTTTTTCCCCTCTCAATAGCTCACATTCACGCATCAATCTGACTGAAGCTTTGAAAGCATCAAACTTCTCTCTACAGGTCCTGCAAATGTATCTACCATTCTGCGGAATATCGATCTCCAACGCCAAACTCTTCTCCGAATCCCGCAAGGAGTATGAGAGGAGTAGGGTAAGATCTGCAGAAATGTTGCTTAATAAAACTCTTCAGAATGATTCAAAATCTGCCTCCAGATTTCTAGACCTCTCGGACAGTGCTTGTTAGATTGCATACAATCATCAGGTCAAGGTTTCAAATATTTAATAATCCTGTGTAAAGCTTGAAGGCCTGTGTTTTCTGAATACATTTGGAGCTGCTGCTGTTGTTTCTCAAGGCGCTGCTGGAGGTGGTGAATGACCTGTTCGAGGAGCAGACGGACCTGGAGAAGATTGTGAGAAAGATCATGCAGCGTGCGCTGACATTACTGCAGTGTGAGCGCTGCTCTGTGCTTCTGCTAGAAGACATCCACTCCCCTGTGAGATCACTTTCAGTCCTCCTGTTCTCTTTTCTGTCATGATTTAAGTCTTTATTAAAATCTTTATTACATCTTTTTCTTTATACATTCCACCTTTCTTGACTAATTAAACTAGGCATCCTCTCATTGGCCTTCACATAAGCCTTCATTTCCTATGCTCTTTCTTGCTAAAGAGAACATCAGTATTGCTCATTCTTAGGTTTTTTTCCCACATAAGCATTGAAATGTGCCTACGTAACATATTCTGTTTGTGCTATGGACATGAATGATTCCTCATGTAGGAGTGTGCAGCCAAGCTATCTTCTGCAGTCAAAATTTATATGTGGATGTGGACGGGGCTTAAAGTGGGAGTGCGACAAAACGAAAAGATTATTTTTGTTGCTCAGTTCCATTCAGTTTCAATTTAGAAGTTGTGATTGATTTGTATAAATAATTAAATTATTGATTCTATTTTTATTAGATTTGTTTAAAATATAGCTTTTTTAACATTCTTAATCTGTAATATAATGACAGCGGAGTGCAGGAATTACATATTTTTGTTGGCCAAAACCTGGAAACGAGTTAGCATTTTAGCACTTTCCGTTCCATCGTCCCAAAGTCACTGGGTTTTTATTGGTATTGGGATAAATGCCTAAAATTAGGTCTCTGGTTAATGGTTCGGTTTGCATGTAGGGACCCTGATTATGCTACAGTGTTGGACTATTTTGAACCTTGTTAGTGGTATTAAAGGGATAGTTCACTTTCAAATAAATTTTTATATGTTTTAGCTTACCTCAAGGGCATCCAAGATGTAGGTGTCTTTGTTTCCACAGTATTTTCAATTTTGACATTTTTCGGTCAAACCGTTGTTGTCTATCAGTCATATGATGCAGGTTTAGGGGGTCCACCCAAGTTCACCTCAAAAAGCATGCACAGAGAAGTCAAAATTAAACATGATTTAATGACTCGTAAATGTAAGTACACATTGATGGCCTAAGACACGAAACGAGCGGTTTGTGTGAGAAAACGAACAGTATTTATTTTGTTTTTAGAGATTTCGGAAGTGTTGCCCTTCACTGTAAAGATCTAAACATATTTAGATATACATGAAATCGCAATGGAAGATGATTTCGATATATCGAAATATGTTTAGTGAAAGGTAAAACTTCCGAAATCTCTGTGTAAACAATGAGTGACGTACACACGCAAGCGATCACTTCCGGCGCATTCGCAGACCGAAGCGCCCGTGCCGTCAGATCAGTTGTACATGGCTGTGGTTACAAGAGGTAAAAACAATATATAAATACTGTTCATTTCCTCACACAAACCACTTAGGCCATCAATGTGTACTTACATTTATGAGTCATTAAATCATGTTTAATTTGGACTTCTCTGTGCATGCTTTTTGAGGTGAACCCAGGGTGGACCCCCTAAACCTCCATTACTGACAGACAAGAACGGTTTGACCTAAAAATATCAAAATTGAAAATACTGTGGAAACAAAGACACCTACATCTTGGATGCCCTTGAGGTAAGCTAAAACATATCAAAAATTAATTTCAAAGTGAACTATCCCTTTAACTAGCGATTTTTATTTTCATTACTCTATGCCCGATATACTAGCGTTATAAGCTAAACAGTTTTTAAATAATCATGAAAACAAATGGGAACGGTTGACTATGTACCAATGTGTAATTAGACCTAAGGTTCATTTTACACTGGAGTTGTCCTTTAATTCCCCCCTTTTTTAAAGCTTTCCCTTGTCTTGAAAAAGGCAATTGCTTACAAACCGCTAAATGGGACTACAGAGGTTCACACTGATCAGTTAAACTCTTACAGCTTTGTGTCTATAAACACACCCCTGCAATCTATTCTAACTCAAACTTTCAGGGAAATTGTTTTTTTTAAATAAAGATAGGAAGTCAGAAGCTTAGTGGCTGTGAAGTTGAAGTCATGTGACCATGGTGTAGATTGTTTATAGCTTAAGTTTAGTTTTTTACTTGTACCGATTGTATAGGCTTCAAAATTTATAAAAGTTGTGTTCATAAAATAATCATATTTATTGGTCAGTGCTAACTTCCAGGTTGGCCTACAAAAATAGGCTACTTCACTTCAGCGCTCTATAACGTGACTTCTTAAAGGAACAACAGTCTGTTTTTTGCAGGGGACTTACTGTATCGTTCAGCCAGTAGAGGACACTGTGCCTCAGCGCTTGAGAGTCCAGAGTTTACATTGAATTAAAGAGAATAGGGATTAAAGATTATGCTCCTGCATATTGAATGTGATATTACAATGACTGTCTGCTTTGTTTTAGAATCAAAATCACTGTAATTTGTCCTCTTAATTTTAGATATGTTCATTAAAATATCCCTATTCTAATCAATTGGATAATTAGTTTTAGATTATTTCATGTCATTTATTTTAAAGTATTTATTTGTGCCTTTTCAAACAGTGTATTCAGAATCGATCACAAATCTTCCTCATATCATGCATTTCTTGGCAATTTTATTTACAGTGCTTGACAAACAATACAACAGAGCCCTATAATATAGATAGAATATCACAATACATCAGACTTTAGACTACAAGAAAACATCTACTGTAACCGCAACCGCTCAGAACACCTTAGCAATGTCCTGGAAATCACCATAGCGTTGTTTTTTCTTTACTGTGTTCTCAGGTAGTAAAGTTCTCCCAGACATTTGAGCTTATGTCTCCGCTGTGCAGCGTCGATCATGACATCAGGTGAGAATAACAGGACTATAATATAATATACTGTTACATGTGTGTTTATAGTGTATGTAATGTGGGCCGGCTAATATTTACTATACTACTAACAGACTATTATTTATGGGATTGAGGGATTGATTGGATCATAGGAAGTTGCTAAATAAATGTAGGCATATTGGAAAGTTTGTTTGCAACTATTTGTGGAGGATATTAATGCTGCCTTCATGTGCTATCGGAATTATCGTAAATATGAGGAGTTAAAAACTGGACATGAATGCCCTCTAAAGTCGTATTTACCAGAGGGAGTTCCTGAGTTAGGCGTGCCATAAAATCTATCCAGCACAGTGAATGTTTATATTGTCATAAATGAATGGGATTTTAAACATCATTTAGGCTTTACTAAGATTTACCCAATAAATAAGCAAGAATAAACCTGATGTTCTCCATGATTCCTGTTCTTTCTGACAACAAAGCACTTGAAAAATTGAAAACGATTTGAAATGTCCGATAGCATCTGAAGGCAGCAAAAGTCCCACCCTCCGTCTAGACATACATCAAGAGACCAGATGCCGTTTCAAAGGGAGGGAGGTTTACGTTTTTTGTTTAAAGGTTACAGTGCAAATTAATCTTTTATAATAAACACTGAAACATTCTGTAAAAAAATGTGGAATCCATTTTGATTTCATGGTGACTTTACTGTATACCATGCTAAGTATGTGTGTTTGTGTGTATGTGTGTGCATTTGACAAAGTCAGCATGGAGAAGGTGTCTTGTTCGGATTGGCTAATCAATAACAGCATCGCTGAGCTGGTAGCATCAACCGGACTGCCAGTTAACATTAGTGACGTCTGTCAGGATCCCCGCTTTGATGCTGAGGTGAGCAGATTCGTTTTGATTGCTTGGCCCACACAAAAGTTTGATTCGTCTATTCATATAGTGTCAGTTGTATCATGCAAGTAATGTGTTTCTTACTCAGGCGGACCAGGCTTCTGGTTTTCATATCAGATCAGTTTTATGCGTTCCCATCTGGAATCGGACACATCAGATTATTGGTGAGTTTCCCTACGCAAATGCTTCATTGTTTATGCACAAACCCAAAAAACAACAACTAAAATAACTTCTGGCTTTCATTAGGTGTTGCCCAGATTCTGAATCGCTTGGACAGGAAGACATTTAATGATGCAGATCAAAGGTTATTTGAGGTGTGACTTTATTAGAATTGTTGATGTTGGAATAAAATTAATATTTTAATAAGCGAATTAGAGCCATACTGTACTTCTACTACTGATGCTTTCATAAATACACATGATGAGTAATAATTTTCATGTCCGTCGATCCTCACAGGCATTTGTTATTTTCTGTGGCTTGGGCATTAACAACACAATGATGTATAACCAGGTGAAGAAGACTTGGGCTAAGCAGTCTGTGGCTTTAGATGTGAGTAATATCACTTTATTTTAAGGTGACTACAATATGTACTTTCTAATAACAGTAAATTATGCATAATTACAACTAACTCTAAAACAAACCCGAACCATAACTCTAGTCAGTTGGTATGTAAATTTATATTACTCAGTACTTATTTGAACAATGTAACTACATCACGTTAAAATAAAGTGTAACCGTAATATTCCTTCTTCTTCTGTTTTAAGCTGCTCATAATCATAACAGCTAAAATTTTGCCTGCATATCAATCTCATAAGATCAGATGGTGTGGTTAACTTACAATCTGTGTGGGTATTAAAAAAGACTTTGTATGCATAGTGTATTGTTGTTTCTGTCTTTTCCCAGATGTTGTCTTATCATGCTACATGCTCCAAGGCAGAGGTTGATCGACTGAAAGTAAGTCTCGTCAAACTAGAGATAAAATATGGTGATTAAGTCCATACTAACTAGATGTACTGAAATTATACTAATGTTTTAAATTCATAATTTATATCTAAAACAAAGTTTTAGATATTCTTGTGGATGCAAATTGATCAAAAGTGACATTAAAAACATTAAAAAGATTTCTATTTCAAATAAATTTTGTTTCTATTAATCAAAGAATCCTGTTTTGCGAAAAAAAACAAATGTTTTGCAAAGATATTAAGTAGCACAACTGTTTTCAACATCGATAATAAATGTAATAAAAGTAATAAATGTTTTTGAGCAGCAAATCAGCATACTAGAATGATTTATGATTAGGTCATTATACTGATTTACTGTATATTTTTTAAATAAATAAATGCAGCCTTGCTGAGCATAAGAGACTTTTTTCAAAACAGATTCGTTCTAAACATTAGAAATTGCTTTGGCAATACACTGTAATGCCTGTTATACACATTTGATTTGAATATAAAAAATATCAAACTTAGTGTTTTTTTGTTTGTTTTTTTACCTGTGAGTTACTATCTATACAGCATCGTGCTGCACAACCTTAAATGGCGGCACAAGATTTACAGATCAGTAGAATATAGAATGTTTAAAGCTTTTCTCCAGAGAGAGACGAGATGAAAACTTCAAATTAAACTCATACATTAGAGAGATAGATAAGTAAAAAAACATCTCAGACCCCTGCGTTTCCAAGAAATATATAGTTGGTGGGTCCTACTTGAGAGAGCTAAAGTATTAATAATTGAAATGGCAGAGTGTAATATACTCTTTCTGTTTGAGCCCTCAGTGGACCAGGTTCTGCTCTGGTGTTTAATTGCCTTGCTACTGGAGTAACTGAGATTGTGCCCTCTCCTCTCTCAGGCTGCTAAGATTCCCCTAAGCAGTGAGCTCGGGATCGATGAGTTCCACTTTAATGACTTTTCTCTGGACAACGACGCCATGATCACTGCCTCCCTGCGGATGTTTTTGGAGCTTGGTGTCGTGCAGAAATTCAAAATTGATTATGAGGTGAGGCAATCATTATTAGAGAGGGGGCGAAATGCCAGCCCTACTGACTGAAAGAGTGAAATGCTGCTTACATATGTATGCAGTGTTGAGGGTGGACTGCTGGGTTATAGATTGGTGAGTTACTGTGCTGAAGGCTGGTTCCTGAAACACCCTGGGGGGGTCTGCAGCCACTGTACGGTGTGTGAATATTACAGCGTTCCTTTGTTTTCCTGCTCAGGTGCTGTGCCGCTGGCTGCTCACCGTGAGGAAGAACTACCGCACCGTAGCCTACCACAACTGGAGGCATGCCTTCAACGTCTCGCAGTGCATGTTTGTTATGATTACCGTAAGTCACCAAGCTCAGATGCTGATCGAAGTGGCCTTCTGAACTGATGATGTGGGATTTGATAGTTCACTCATAAATGAAAAGTCCTAATTTACTAATTTACATGTCGGTTGAAACCTGGAATTTAGTGGAATACAAAAATAGTGGAAAGTCTAAGCAGCTCTTTTCCATACAATGAAAGAGAATGGTGATCATGACTGTCAAAAAGTATTTCAACCCTTGGGAAAAATAAGTATATGCTTAATGCAAAGTTCTGTCACGAAACTCTAGCTGATTTGATCTGATTTGGTCCTCCTATATCCAATGAGCTTGTGAGCTCAACCCCTCAAATACTTGGTAAGCATTTGCCTTAACAGTGCAGCATGCTTTCAGAAACCCTCCCTCTTCCCCAGCTCCTCCTGTATAGATCTGCTATGGGTAATTCATAATTCACAGTAGCAGAATGTCTTACTTGCTCAAAGCAGCGTGCATTGTATCGGCAGTAGCAAGTCCAGTAATCGCTTTACAGTAGCAGCGTAGAAGATCTATTCCATCAAGACCAAACATATCAACATTGTCATACCCATTATACCTGTCATGACAGAAATTGTATTTAATGTGGACTTGTAGTGTACTTCAAATCTTAAAAGTATATATTTAATAAAAACCTTACTAAGTGTGCTTAAAAAGAATACACTTTCATGACTCATAACGTCTCAGTTACGTATGGTAACCCTTGTTCCCTGAGTAGGGAATGGAGACGTCTCGTTGGAGGAGTTTCCAACGAATTGGGATCACGCTAGGGAGACCAATTGCCTTTGAGAGAATTAAAACGAGCCAATGAATATTTGCATGCAGGACTTGCATTCCGCGCCCCGCCTGCCAGTGGGTGTATAAAGCGGAAGCGAGCACACACACATGCTTTACGCTGAGGAGCCGGGCGGTGTCCAGTCCTCCGAGAAGGTACAGCAAGCATGGCGACGGGACGAGACGTCTCCTTTCCCTACTCAGGGAACGAGGGTTACCATATGTAACCGAGACGTTCCCTTTCGTTATGGAACTCCTACATCTCGTCGGAGGAGTTTCCAACGAATTGGGATCCCTAACAAGACGCCATGGTCCCTTCCAGGGCCTAGCTTAGTCTCCCGCCAAAGCAGTTTCTTAGTTTTCTTCATGGCAGGAGCTAGCTAGGAAGAATCACACTGCTGTTTCGCAAGACCCTCTCAGTGGATTTGGATAACACTAGGAAAGCGTGCCCAACCTGAAGGAGGGAATGCTGTGGTGTCTCTTGCCTATCTGAAGGGAGGCACTGGAATACATCTATGTATTAGCCCGTAGGTTAGTGAAACATACGGCAGTCTTTGAGGTAATCCCAGCCTGTGGGATTGTAGGGTGGGAGCATACTCAACAAAGATGACAGAACTGGTCTGTCGAGGGGAAGACACGATGGCTCAAAAGGGGGCCTCTATAGTGCTCTGAGCACTAGAGTTAAGCCCCAAGAGGTTAAGGGGTGCGGATTTAGCCTCCTAGCACCCTCAAGGAATCTGATGACCAGGTTGTGCTTTCCTAATGACTTACCATCTACTGCATCATGATGAGTGGCTATTGTGGTAACATAAACTTTGGGGGTGGAGGGAGGCAGTGTCTGTGGAAGAAGGCTCACTGGAGGAAACACATATTTGAGAAGGCCCCGGGGCCAGCTGTGCGCCAGTGTATCTGTGCCGAGAGATTCTCCGGTCAGGGAATAAAACAACTGGCATGGGTCGTGTCTGGAGAGACAAACAGATCTATCTGATTGGCTTCGAAGATTCCCCATTTTAGGTGGACCACCTGGGGACTAAGGGCACTCTGGCCTGTAGAAAGGCAGGGTCCGACCAAGGACTTAAGGTTTGGCGACAGTGCGGGGGTAATGTTGACCCGGAATGTGCCGCTCTACCACAGCCATCTCGGGACTCGATCGTGAAGCCAACGCTGAAGCGGTCTCATATTCTGCAGGCCGAGCGGCGTTACCGTGGCTGCGGCTGCCATATGCCCCAGGAGCCTCTGAAACTGTTTCAGTGGGACCGCTGACTTGCCCCGAAAAGACCCGAGGGAGTTGAGCACTGACAGGATGCACTCTTCGGTGAGTCACGCAGCTTTACTGACCGAGTACTACTCCATACCAAAATAAGATATCCTCTGCATGGGGAAGAGTTTGCTCTTGTCCCAGGTGACCTGAAGCCCCAAATGGCTGAGGTGCCGAAGCACTAGGTCCCTGTGATCGCACAACAGATCTCGTGAATGAGCTATCAGCCAGTCATCGAGATAGTTGGGAATGTGAACACCACGTTCTCTAATGGGAATGGCCACCTCCACGACTCCAGCCGAAGGGTAGGACCTTGTGCTGATATGCCTGACCCTCGAAAGCAAACCGAAGAAATGGTCTGTGTCAAGGAAGAATCGAGACATGAAAGTATGCGTTCTTCAGGTCGATCCTGGGGACAGATGCACTGGAAGATGCGCTTCTGCATGAGCATTTTGAATGGGAGCTTGTGTAGGGCCCGATTCAAAACTTGCAGATCCAGGATCGCCCGTAACTCCCCGCCTTTTTTGGGTACAATGAATTAAGGGCTGTAAATTCCAGACCTCATCTCGGCTGGAGGGACCAGCTCGATCGCGCCCTTCACCAGCAGGGTGACAATCTCTTTCCTCAAGACAGGGGCGTTGACACTTCGACCTTGAGTGAAGAGGACGCCCCTGTACCCGGGGGGCCGGCGGGCAAACTGTATTGCATAGCCAAGCCGGATGGTACGGATGAGCCAGCAGGATGGCCTCGGAAGCGCTAGCCAGGCTCAGAGAAACCGTACCAACGAGCTGACCCGGAGGAGGGGTAGCGAGCTGGAAAGCAGGGACTGGATTCCTGAAGCAGTGCTGCTGCCGAGAAAGGGGTCTGGGTGTGTGAGGGTTCCACACGAGCCCGACCTTCTCAGCCATGAGCATACGAGTCATCTCTGGGTCTGGCTCGGACAACACTACCACACCCAAAGGGGGCAGCGCAGCTGAGTCATCATCGCAGGTCTCCCTATCGTGATCCCAATTCATTGGAAACTCCTCAGACGAGACATTGGAGTTCCCTAACGAAAGGGAACTTGAATTCTCAAAGCTATTGTAATTTGTAATATTGTATATAGTCATTTTTTTTGTCTCTGGAGATTGACAGTCCCTGGTCTCCTATCCACTTATTCTAGGTAATGGATAAACACCTTCAGTTTCTTCAACAGAAAAAAGAAAGTCATACGAGTTTGTTACAGCATGAGTGTCAGTAAATGATGATAGGGTTTTTTATTTTTGGGTGAACTATTCTTCTAATGATTTGTATGATTGTAAATGTACATAAATAATGATCTTTCAAGCCATAATTAATCACTGAATTTGATGATTTCTGTTACTGGATTGACCGCAGTAGATTCTCTGTTGTGGATTTCAGACCGCTGGGTTACAGGAGGTGCTGACAGACACCGAGACTCTCGCACTAATGGTTGGGTGTTTCTGCCATGACCTGGACCATCGTGGCACAAATAACGCCTTTCAGGCAAAGTGAGTCAACAGTCAATGTACATTGCATCAGTGATTCTCAGCTGGTTTAACACAAAATTTAAAATCACAGATTTTCAGATCAAATCACACCCAACAAAGTATCAAAATTGTTTGTCATGTAAAAATAAAGTTGTTCTTAATGTTCAAGAATGAGGCATGTCATGCTAACTGTCAATATTGACATCTGCCTAATATGACTTAATATCCTAATATCTTCTAATAACTGACAGAATTGTCCCAATACTGTGGATTTTAATTATAGCTGCACTGCCTTTAAAATCAACAACAACATATAAAGGAGCTTTTTCAACTCCTTTTTAAAGAAAGTTTTTTTTTATTATTATTATGCTATCATAGTTATTATGGATAGTTGCATTTAACTTTGCAATTTATTTTTATTTTAATTTTTAACTTTGTCGCATTGTTTTCATATGTCGATTACACTTTATTTCTATGGTCCACTTTAGAGACTCTACGAACCATATACTTTGCAACTACATGTCAACTAACTATCATTAGAGTATTAGTAGAGTGTTGGGTTAGGGTTCGGGGTAAGAATAAATCGAAATGTAGTTACAAAGTTACTTATAGTTTGTAGAATGTCTGTTGGTGGAGCATCAATATAAAGTGTTGGCAGACATTAAGCATCTAGTCTACTTATACTCTAATGAGAGTTAATTGACATGTAGTTGAAAATTTACTTATAATATCTCGAAAAAAGTGTTACCTGTACAGTATGTCTTCCGTATTTTTATTGAAATATTTATATATATATATATATATATATATATATATATATATATATATATATATATAAAAATATAACGGTACAATAGTAATGTACAAGATACAATGGTAATTAAGAAAATATATTTTTTAGTGCAGTCCTTATTCATAAATAAGATATTAGCTCTATTTAGCGTGTCCTGTATGTTTGTAGAACAACATGATGTTCTTACTGTACTATATCTTATCTCTGTTGTGATCCCAAAGGTCTGGGTCAGCACTGGCGCTGCTGTACGGAACATCTGCCACACTTGAGCATCATCATTTCAACCACGCTGTCATGATACTGCAGAGTGAGGTGAGTAATGTTTAAATGACGTGAACTAGCCTGTCTTTTCTGGTCAGGTCACAGTGATCTAGAGCAAATTAAAGCACTGAATTGCATTATTATGAGGATTAGAAAGAACAAATATTGTCAAAGCAATGGACTAATACTGTGTCCATCTCACACCTCTCTTGTAATGGATTTGCAGAAATGACCCATTTTACCCCTGTCCACATTTGCATGTCTCAGTGGATGGAAAAAATGCAAATGGCTGTCAGTGTTTGATTAAAGAGGCTGATTTCGCTCTGAGCTGTTTAATCATGACCAAGCTCTGTATCGATTTCCTGTAGGCGTCCAATGAGCTTTTTTAACCAACACCAATTAACTGTGCTAAGGAGATTCCCCTCTTGGGTCAGCTGCACTGAAGCAAAGAGAGAACAAAAATTGCTTTCTGTCGCTGAGAACTTTGCAGACACACTATTTATGAATGATACTCAGGGGTGTGAAGTGATTCCTGGTTTCGTGATTGGCTGTATTTCAGAGGAAAAGACAGGGCTTTGTTTGAGTAATATAACTTGGAACAAGGGATGTGATTAACCCTGTAAAACCTGCTGTCTCATATATTTTATGTGCAAATTTCTAAGGACTCTACATTATCAATATCAACATGATCAAAACTTATCTACGACATGCCTTCTTTCCTCTTATTGACAGTTTATCCTTTTTTTACAAGAAAAAACATTTTAGTATAATTCTAAAAAATCTTCACTTCAACACTTACTGGCTGAAGCAATTTAGGTTTACTTGATTATACATACATCATTTTCAGGAAAACATGATAAAGTGTGAGTATCAAATATGATACATCAGGATTTTGAGGAACATTTATTTGTACATATCTCAATCATAAATGTACAAAAACGACAGAGCTTTGATGTGAAACTAAGCATTTAAATATCTTCCTAAGTCATTATTGGGAGACATATGACAACTAATATCTATATATTTTAGTCTGTTAGAATGTTGTAAGGATCTCATTGATTTGCATAGACTGTAAAAAAAAAATGTGATCAATAAGTTAAGACAACATGTGTTTTTACATTGCTTTAACTCATCGAAATAAGTTAAGCAATTTTCAACTTTCTTTTATACGTTATTCAAGATTCAACAAGTCAGTTTAATGGAATTTAAGTTGAAATGGCTTAAACATGTAAGTTGATTGTACTTAAAAATGTTAGGCAGCAACACTGTTAAGCCACTGTAAAAAAATCATGATTTGTTATCATAATATTTTTTCTTATCAACTCAACTTAGATACTGTAATTTATGTGGTTCAGATAACATAATATTTTGAGTTTCTGATTATTAAATCAATCTCCTTCGTTGTGTTAACTCAATTTTTCAATTTCAATTAACTTAAAGTTTTAAGGCAACCAGGTTACTTCATTTTTTTAAGTTAAACCAACACTATTTTTTTTACAGTCATATACGTAAATATCAGCAACCAAACAGTTTTTTTTCCTCCACAAGTGCGAGCCTCAAATTCTCACTATATCATAATAAAAACCTGATGCATATGCAAAAATAAATAAACAAATAAATTAAAATAATAATAATATTAATTTGTCCAAAACCTGTCCCTTTATATAGATTTTTATTACTATTATTTCCTATGTCAGCTTTTATGGGGTTATGTTCTCAAATACAAATGTGGACATAAATGATTATGTGGGACGTGAAATATGAAATGTTGCTCCTTCCACTGGGGGGAGTATAAGTGATATAAGTGACCCAGATTACACATCTTGCCCCACTCTCCCCTATTGCAAATAACAATTCTGACAACTTTGTCATCTTTTTGTCATTGTTTTCTGAATAATGCCTAACCTTCCACAGGGTCACAACATTTTTGCGAATCTATGCTCCAAGGAGTACAGCAACATGATGCAGATATTGAAACAGGCCATTTTGTCCACAGATCTCACCTTGTACTTCAAGTAAGTCACAGCGTCAACTTAAGTGGAATATTTGTTTAAATAGTTATTAAAAGAGGTAGTGGTCTTCAGCTTCAACACTGTAAAAAATATTTTTGTATATATATATTTAATAAATATATATGTTTTTCACAACATATTTTCTTTTGTCAAATCAACTTTATAATAATTTATTTATTTGAGAACTTATTATTTTAAGTTTCTGATGGTTAAATTAATCTACTTCATTGTATTAACTCACTTTTTCCAGTTTAATCAACTTAAAATTTTAAGGCAACCCAGGTTATTTACTTTTTTAAGTTAAACCATCAATATTTTTTTTACAGTGAAACAGCTCTAAATATTCCAGCAGGTGCATGTAATTCATGTTTTAGGCCACACAGAGGCGCCTTTTGAAAGAGGCAGAAGAGGTGATATAAAGCCCCTTTTGTGGCTTTTGTTCAGATCCTAAAAGCCTGATGAAGATCTACAAGATCTTCACCATAAGGAATATTGAATAAAATTACCTTGAATGCGGTGAAAGAACCTTAAATGTTTTTCTGTGGATCTTTGTTTTCCATCGGACACAAAAGAAGAAGAACCAAGTTCTTTGAGTGTGTTCTCTCTGAACAGTTCAGTTGGAGTAATGAGGAACATAGAGACATGTTCAGGTGAGCGACTACAACTTTTAAAATTGATAATAGAAATACCAGGAGCTGCTGTAAATGGTCTTCATATTTAAACATACCAGGTCAATGCTGATGACTGCCTGTGACTTGGGTGCAGTGACTCGGCCATGGGAGATCTCAAAACAGGTTAGACAGACCTTGAAAAAAAAAAAAACATCCTTAAAACATGATCCATTTATTTGAGAAGCAATACTGTGTAAGATATGACTTGAGATAGATAGATAGATAGATAGATAGATAGATAGATAGATAGATAGATAGATAGATAGATAGATAGATAGATAGATAGATAGATAGATAGATAGATAGAGGTCAGAAAATTATACTGTGTATTCTCTGAATTCATTGTATGTTGGGATAATACCATAGTAGTGCACATTAAAATAATGTCATGTCTATATGTTTCTAATTCCAGGTTGCTGAACTAGTGACCAGTGAATTCTTTGAACAAGGTGACAGGGAGAGATCAGAGCTGAAGCTGACACCAGCTGTACGTATATTCTCTCACCAACACATATCTCTAAAATTGGCTGATTTTTCAATCGATTGCTTACATTTTTATTTTGTTTTCAGGCCATTTTTGACCGTAATCGTAAAGATGAGCTTCCTGTGCTTCAGGTGGAATGGATTGATGGAATTTGTAAGCCATTATATGAGGTAACAGTTAAGTAAATAAATCAAATTGAATTATCATAGCTAATTAACTTTTATAGACTGATGATAATGTATTTTACAGGCTCTTGTGAAGTTGAATAGGAAGCTTCAACCGATGGCAGATGGAATTGATGCCAACCGAAAAAAGTGGGAGGAGCTTTGTCTGTCCTATCAGCAAACACGAAGAGCCTCTGAGTGTATCTCTAGTCTGAAGGCAGGAGAGACACAATCCTCTCAGAGTGAAGACTCCGCCCACGGGCCGGAGTCAAGTCAGAGTGAAGCAACCAATCAGAGCAAAGACTCCACCCACTGTGTGGAGCCAAATCATCCCCCAGTAGCCAATTGCAAATAAGAGGCGTGATTCGGAAATTAAAGGACGGCCCACTGAGTACTTTTACAGCTTTACTGTTTACACAAAGTTAACCAATTTTTTTTTTCATTTTTTTAAATGGGTTGCTTTGACTGACAGCATTTTTATTGAAATTAAAGGGATAGTCCATCCAAAAAATAATAATAATTCTGTCATCATTTAGTCACCCTTCATGTTGTTCCAAACTTGTATGACTTTCTTCTGTGGAACATAAAAGAAGATTTTTTGAAGAGTGTTGGGACAACATGAGGTAGAGCAAATACTGACAGAATTTTCATTTGTGTGTGGACCCCAGCACAATTTAATGACTACATGGTTTTAAAAAGAAAATGTTTATTAAGAACCCATATTTTTTAGATTTTGTCTTGGAAAAAAATGTATAATGGCATATTTGACAAAACTTAAAATTCAGGTGCACAAAAAAATTTTGAATGTCAAAATTTAAATGCTCAGATGTTGTCCAACAAGTCTGTGCTGCTATATTGCAAGTTATGAGTCTGGTTTTACAAAGCAAAAGTTGCTACTAGGATTCCTATGCTTGAGATGCAGAAACTGAGAATGATGAATGTATAAATTAATATCACTGTGATTTTTGTTGCTGTTGTCTCTTGACCTGCATGGAACCACTGTTGCAACTGCTGATTGTGTTAAAATTTTATATTGAACAACTTTACAAATTGTTTAATGTTTGAGTATGCATCCTTATACCCTCATGTACCTGTCAATCCTAAAAAATTATAGCTACATTACTAAAACTTTCACTGCAAAAAATACAGTATATTCTGTATGTATGAACATTGTTTGGCACATGATTGCATACCAACTGTTCACATGGCAAACACAAGATTGAATGTGAATAAACTGTCTTAAGCCCATCAGGGATACATCCTTGATGGTTGATTCCAAACCAAAGTCAATTGTTACATACTAAAAACCTAAATTTGTTGCATGCAAAACAGACATCTGTTGTTGCTAGCATGGGAGTTTAAGTTTACTTTTGTTACATGTTGAAATTTAGTATGTGAAATGTATTGATTTTTTTCTAATGCATTCTGAATGCCATGAAATGCATGTTGTATAGATTTGACAAAAGCAACTTTCTGCTTTAAATGGGAGTTAAACTCTCGGGTTGTGTTGCAGTCTTGCTACTAAAGTTTATCGGTGTGTGCACAGTCAGATTATGCTCATTCAGTTCAGCTTGTCTGCCTTATTAAAATGTAACTATTTTTGCATTTATTATGATTCGACATTTCAAAAGAGAATTTATATTCATACCGTTAAAAAGAAGGCCGGAAATAGCTTTTATATTTGATTAAGCTATAACATCCAATGTTCATATCATACTTGGTGCCTCAGCGTGACTCTTTTAGAGAAATTCTCATACTGTATTTCAATGGATCATAAATCCGTCAAATGCCTGTCCGGTTTGTAAGAGGTGCACATGGGTCTTTTCTTGCCAGACTGATAGCTGGTCATTTTCCTCAGGCTGTTTTGTAAATAAAGAACACTGTGATGCAAGCGGGTGTGGTGATCCGTGATTGGCTGCATGAAATCCGTGTAAATGTCTTATAAGTCATATTATAATTCAGAAACATAACTATGTGCAAATCTCCAAACTCAATTCCCAGTATGACCTTTCATGCATGTGAGTTTTGCATTACAGATATGCTGCTTTTAACAAGCCAAGAACGCAAACAGCAAGCATATCGCTTATGTAAAACAGAATATGCATAAATATTTGGCCTGGGTGAAAGTGTGAGGACTGATGAAAGCGAGTGTTTGAAGTTGTGGCCGCAGAGAGAGAGAGAGAGAGAGGCTTTGTGCCGGACAAGCCGACTGATACAAAAGCAGCGTGGCCGGCTGCATCCAGCTCTGCTCTCTGTGATCTATTATTCAATGGGGATTCAGCTGCCTTCCTGAGGCTTTAAAACCTGGAGAAAACAGGAATGAAGCAGAAGAACTTCACTTCTGTGTGTTTCAGCACACAATCTCTGCCTTACTAACATTTTCAGAACCAGTTCTTGCATTGACTAACTAAAATTTCCATCGTGTTTTAGCTATATACAAAAGAACCAAAGCTTAAACTTAAATAAGTTTTAAACATATTTCTGTTATTGAATATTTTTTTTTTTTAATTTCACATTTTAATAGCTTACACAGACATTGATTGAAACAATAAAGCAATGTTCCAGATTTACGCACTGTCCGGGTCCGATTTTAGACTTTATTTTGGTGTGGGACATGACTATATGAAGAGTTCAGATGCAAAAGCCTCTAAGTGCCATTTGAAATTTTCTTCTAGAATGATCATTTTTATCAAGCTTGTATATTTAAGTTCAGTGATTTCACTTAAATGGAAATGATAATTACCCATTAATTGTTATTTAAGTGAAATTACTGAACTTAAATATACAAGTTTGATAAAAATCATCATTAAAGAAGAAAATTTCAAATAGCATTTAGAGGCTTTTGCATCTCAACTCTTCATATATAAGAAGAAAATGGGACAAAAAGCTGGATCCTGGTTGTTATTATGTTTTTGGCAATTTCCACACTTGCTTATACTGGTTCTTTGGGAATAATGGCATTGTTGAGACTTATATCCAAATGCTTTGATATTGATCTCATTCATTAAATTGTTTTAGCTGTCTTTTCTTTTACTTACAGCTTTCCTTCAGGCCTGACTGAGAGATCCCTTAAAACTGTGGTTTTATTCTTAAAATGCTATATGGTTAATACACAATAGTTCAATCTTATAATGCTGACAGAATATTTCATTTATTTCATTTATTTATTTTAATTAAAATATTATCTAACAAGTAAGTATTTATATGTAAGCATGTTGTTTATATTATAATTAAAAAAATAAGATTTTTTTGAATTGGTTTTCAATACCATTTTAAGACACTGTATATTCCACGAAATCTAATTTCACACATAAAAGGCCTCTTCTTTATGTTAATTTACATTATTCTGCTAATATGACAATATTATATTCCAGGCAAAAAATATAAGATAGATTATTGGCCACTTGAATATAACATAACAAACAGTATAATGTACTCTTTAAAAAGCTAAACTGCTTTGTTAAACTCATGAGAAAGCAATATCTCCTTGAGTAATTGCAAACGCCTTCATCACAGAAAACAACCAATAGGGTGAGGGAGATGAAAATTATAATGTTATGATGAGTGTATTTATATTATAATAACAATGCTGGAATAACAATTACATTCAGCAGAAATATAGAAAAGCTCCAATTTATTTTATGATACTGAATCAATATAAAGAACTGAAACCTGCTAAACTAGAGGCAGTATGAAATAAATAGGCTATTAAAATTAATGTATGCATATTTGCGCCGGAAACTTGACAATGACAAGTTAATTTTGCATATAAATAGTTCATTTCTGTGTCTAGATTTATGTCATAATTACTTTGAGCTTTGCTAAAACACACAATAAAGCATCTTATTATATATGAATTATTCATCTTGTTGCTACATTACAGTGGAAAAATGAATTGGAAGGTATAGTTTGCAAAAATAAGTCTGGATGATAATCAAAAGCATATGCAGTCTGCTTGTGTTTTTAATATTCTTCAAGTAACAGTATAATGGATGAGGGTCATGAGTCTATTCACAGCAGTTACTGAATGTATACTAAATAAAGCCTAAATAGTTCAGTCCTGTGGTTCAATGTTTTGCTTTTTTTACAATTAAGATGAACACGTGGCTCAGAGTTTGATTAAAAGAGTGTAATGTATACAAATATGTTGTCACATTTAATTGTTTGTCATCCTTTTATTTAAAGTCCAAGAGCCTATTGAAAGGTCCAAAGTGATATAATAACTTTCTAGAGGCTTACATTGTTATTCCCAAATTCCAACTGTTTTTAGTTCAACATTTTGCCTTAAAGGAGAACTCTGGCGCAAAATGAACCTTTGGTCTAATAAAACATTGGTAGCTAGTCAACCGTTCTCTGAGATTTGTTTTCATGATAATCGAATGTAAAGAGTTTTATCTCTAAAAACTGTTTAGCGTATAATGCTAGTATATGGGGGCATTTACTAAGTAAAAAGAAATCGCTAGTTTATACCACTAACAAGGCTCAAAATAGCCCCACACTAACACAGTAACATAATGAGGCTCCATACATGCAAAACGAAGCATTGAGAACGTTGTAAGTGTACAGACCGTTTAATAAGAAGATACGTTAAAAAGACAAAGTTCACTTCGCGTATACAGACAGGAGCCATCTTGGAAAACAGTCTCGATAAGTCGAACCACGAACGCCGTTCATACAGTTCAGCTCACTTGGCACGTTGTTCATGGTTCGACTTGTCGTGACTGTTTTCCCAAGATGGCTGTCTTTATAAAATATCTTCTTATTAAATGGTCTGTACACTTACAAAGTTGCTTACAGAGTTGCTCAATGCTTCGTTTTGCATGTAATGGGCTATTTTGAGCCTTGTTAGTGGTAAACTAGCGATTTCTTTTTACTAAGTAAATGTCCCCATTATTGGCGTTATACGCTAAACAGTTTTTAGAGATTAAACAACACTATCTCACGACCAATTCGTACGAATTCAACGAATGATTAAAAAGTGTCTAATTCGTACGAATTCGAATTTTTACGATTTGTCTAAACTCACTTGATGGTTAGGTTTAGGGGCGGGGTAAGGGGTAGGTCATTCGTATGAATTCATACGAGTTGGCCAATTCGTAAATTTTTGTACGATTTAGCAAAATCGTACTAATTCATACGAGTGAGGTCGTATGAATTGTTACGATTTAGCCACTTTTTAATCATTCGTCGAATTCGTACAATTTGGTCGTGAGATCGGGTTGGATTAAACTCTTTACATTCGATTATCATGAAAACAAATCTCAGAGAACGGTTGACTAGGTACCCAGGTTTTATTAGACCAAAGGTTCATTTTGCGCTGGAGTTCTCCTTTAAGTGAATGCAATAAGACAATGTAAAGCAATGCCTCTCTGAGCTCATAAGCCTCTAAAAGTCATTTCATGTGCATCTTCAAATCCTTTTGTTTTGAAAAAAATACAGAGCATCTAATAAATAAAAGCTCTATTTTCACAGCATAAGCTGAGATTTA